CCCTGCAAGGCGCCCACTTTTTTCTCACTCTAGTGATGTTTCGAGAAATAAAATTTTCAGGAAAAAGGTTAGTTGAGTCAGAGTTAGGTCAAGTAGTATCGTTTTTAATACAGAAATGATATTTTCCTTCCTCATATTATCTTGTTACGTCTTGGTGACCAATTGAGTACCTTTTTCGTAATACGCGATCGGAAGTTAATGTAGTAGAAATATGTCCAACAATAAAATAATGTGTTGAGAGTGACAAGTGTAAAAACTCATTTCCAACAGTGAGTTAACTATTCCTCGTCATGAATATTCTTCCAATTAATACGGCAAGATATTTGAACCAACTGCAATAATTTACATTGCATTCATAACAACTTCCTCCGTCATTTCATGCCGTGCATACAAAATCGCCTAATAATATCTCAATTTTCTGGAAATTTATCAATTCATTTTCGTCTGAAATTCGCGCTGCGACAAATCGCTCTCTAATGAGTTGCATTGAGACGTTCTGGAAGCCTTTGTTAACACCTCTAAGATTTCCCAATCTCGAGTTATCCGGACGCGGTAAGAATATTGATGTTCGAAATGATAATACGAGGAATTAACTACGGGTTAGCGAACTACGTGAAGTCGTATAATATCATCTACAGGGTTGTGCATCGAAGAGGGCCATACCTGTCATATATGGCCTCCGAATATGTTTGGGTTCTTATGAAATCAGATTAATATGAGTGCGAGAAACAATGACTCTTATTTCAAACTATATTGACATATCAACTGACATTCATGTTCATGTACAGAGTATCTCAATTCTGGTATCTAACATTCCTCTTCTCAATAGGAAACAAAAAGTAAACACTGTCTGTATAGGTTAATCGAGGAGGTGGTACATTCATTATTCCAGATATTTCTGGGATTTTCTCTCCTCGTATCCATAAAATAAAAATATGAATACTATGATTCGCCCCAAAATGTCACTGCCTTTAAGGAATTTTCCTATCAGAGAGCCTAAAAGAAAAATTCACTAGCTTGTCAGTGACAATTTGTATTGAAAAAGGTTTGGATAAGAGGAATAAAGCTATATAGAAAAAATATCAAATTTTCACTTATCTTTGGACGTTTCGCGAACGAATCTGCTCCCGTTTTCAGCATAAAAAATGGATTTTTCGGATGACATATTCGTATTTGACTTGACACTTCTCAGTTCTCAGTAACAATTGGCTACGTTGGTGATCAAATGAGTTACAGGATAATTTCATTAATCAATCTTGAATTTACCATATTTTCATTTTCAGATTTCAGTAGTGCGTACCATGTTCTATCTATATCAACTGAACAGGAAGCAATGCTATTGTCTCCATTCAGAAGAATGCAAGCAGATTCCTTGATTTTTCTCTTCTGGCTGATGGTATCTTCTTTTCCAATGATTTCAATATTATTCCACTCTGCCATATGTTGTTCATCTTCAGTGAGGATATGTTTACCTAGTTTCGATTTGTCGATGTGTCTTTTCTTTATATTGTATTTATGTTTGTTCGTTCTTACTGAAAGAGGTCTCCTGGTTTCACCAGTATAACACTTTCCACAAACACAAGGTATACTGTGAATACAATTTTTTGACGTTTGTCCTTGATTTCTAGGTTTTGTTTGAGTTAGAATTGATCTAATTTCATTTTCAGTTTTGAATACAGTTTTCACTTTAAATTTATCACCAACACGTTTATTTTTCCAGATATGCCGGGGATGTATGGTATTATATTTGCCGTTATTCATGGTTGATTTTGTTGTGGTGGACCTTGTTTGTTTTTAATTTGATGAATCGTCTTATCGATAAAATTCTTTGGATAGGAGTTGACTTGGAGAACATTTTTAATGTGGTGGACTTCGTTATTGAAAATTTGTTGGTCAGATGATATTGATTTGGCACTATCATGGAGTGATTTGATTATTCCTCTCTTAATACTTTTCTGATGATTTGATTGAAAGTTCAGGTATCTATTAGTATGGGTATTTTTACGATACATACTTGTTACAAAGATGTTTTTTGATTTCCCAACGAGAACATTTAGAAATGGTAGCTGATTGTTAGATTCAATTTCCAAAATGAACTTTATGGTAGGTTCGGCATTGTTCACATAATCCAGAAAAATATCTAGCTCCATACGTAGATGATATTTTCATAATTTGGCCACATAACCTAATGAAATTATAAGTGAAAATTTGATATTTTCTCTATATACCCTTATTTCTCTTCTCCAAACCTTTTTAAATACAAATTGTCACTGACAAGCTAGTGAATTTTTTTTTAGGCTCTCTGATAGGAAAATTCTTCAAACGCAGTGACATTTTGAAGCAAATTTATATTTTCATTTTATAGTGACGAGGAAAGGAAATCCAAAAAAAAACTGGAATAATGAAATAATAAACAATGAGAATAATACTATAATTCAAGTATATCTGTTTTTTTCACTGTTCTATTTGGTATTTGGTTTCTAAATGTGATTCTTCTGGTCTCGTGCTAAAGGAGTCATCTTGATTTAGTGCAATCTGTTCCTTTCGGCTGGTCTCAGGAATCTCGGGCAATTCAAATCGCATCCGTAGTATTTCCCATATCCCGCGTATATGTTCTCTGTTTCTCCTCAGGATTGATTCCTTTGGTGTTTGAATCAGATAAGAACGAGGTTCTCTTCCATGTACGTCAACTTCAGCCGGAAACCATTGTTTGGGATTTTGGTCCTGGTGCTGCACATTTTGACCTTCATGCAAAGGAGAAAAATCAGATGCATGTAAATCATAACGTTGTTTCATTTGGTTTTGTTGATCCTGATCCTCTTCCATAATTGCAACTCTACTCCGTGTTTGGTTGTGCAAGTTGAAAGAAAAAAAAAGGACAGTTTGTGGAAATTGAATGCTGCAATGAGGCCTTTTCACGGCCATTTTCAAGCGTTACAAATCATGAAATGAACAAGTACAGGCTGACATTGAAATAAATACATTTCAAGCCCTGAGAAAGCTCGACGTATTCTATCACCACCACCACCACCACCACACCAATAAAAAATATATAGGGATCAAAATGGAATTTAGGTTGCGACCCTTCTTTCCACCCAGACTTCTAGACCGTAGCAATTCTGACGTCACATCTGTTGAAATTTCCGAGCGGAAGGCACAATTACGCGTGGTTATCGTAATACGTTGATGTAGTTCAATTATTCGATCTGTTTGACAGTGGCTACTTGATTTTTTCCGTTTTTTGTTCAATCTTCCTGTTGAAATTTCTCATCAATTAGTAGGATTTTAAAAACCTGATATTATGGGAATATTCATCAGACACTATATCACTATCATATCGATGTGCTGAATATATGTAGTTATTTCAAAACAACTCGTATATACGTACTCAAAACTCCTATTTTATTTTTTTTCGTAACCCCAGAAAACCAACGTTTCTTTTAAGATTTTTTTCCTATTTTCTCTCCTCGTTGATTTCACTATCAGAGAGCCTGAATGAAAAATTCAATCGATTGTGAGTGACACACCGTTCTTAGAACTTGTTTGTGAAGAAGAGAATTATAAATATATGGGGAATGAAATGAAAAATGTAATATTTGTCAAATTGTCTTCGGATCTCAATGTTGACACTTCTCAGTGACAGATGTTGATGCGAATAAATGAGTTCTCATTGATTAATCTGGAATTCACCATTTCCATGTTCAGATTCCAGTAGTGAACATGAAAATTGAAAATAACGTCCACTAACTATCAATAAAAAAGCTCCGTAGCACCTACTCGAAATTAAAAATAATTGTTGCCTGCAGCGCATTTTCTAATATCATCGACAGGTCTAGAGGAATTGATTCTCCCCCCATCCCCCTCCCTTGAGAAAATTTCCTGCGGGCGATCATTTCTGTATACTGAGAAGGATAAAGCTTCTATTTCCCGTAGAGCCTGAGTCCTGCAGGGATTCTGATTCACGATCGTCAATTGTCATACGATAAGATGATGAATTCGAAGTCGAATTCATTTGCAAATCTATTTCTTAGTCGCGATCGAATAGCCTTGAGAAATCGTCAGGTTTTTGGCGAAATGGAAAGACATTTCGATCCAATGAAACGAGCAGCCAAGTCAAAGCCAACACAAATTTGGGGATATAGTGGTCATATTATTTTTATGAATTCCAATTTTTAAGAATGAAAAACTGACCAATTATTCGAGATGGTATTTAGGCACATAGCAGTAGATTGGATGTGGACGTTAAGAACTATGAAACAGAAGATACAATCATCACTCAGTTAATATAGGTCAAGTGTGAAGGGAATTATTACAGAATCTAAAATATTTTGTTGGTCAAGGTTTTATACAACTGGATCATACCAAGATTATACCTTCTGCCATTTCTCGGGAGTTCGCTCGCGAAACCCCCAATGATTTCAACTCTTGATTCACAGTTTTTTATTGATTTCACCACCATAACACTCTGAAAGTCGTCCTGTGGAGTGTGGTTATGTTCTGTGAGGTTCTAGAGATGTTTTTAACATTTTTTAGTGGGCAACTCTGAGTTTGAACGACATCAAAAATGAATTATATTTATGAAATAATAATATTAAATAGTTGATTACACACTTCCACATAAACTAGATGAACTAACCTCAAACTGAGATCAACATGAAAAGAAACATTCGATGAAAGATAAGGATTGATTCACAAGACGTACCAGACTCCTCTTCAGCTATCGAGAAATCGAATCGAGTTTACACGTGTCATTCGTGAAACAGAATACCGATTCGACTCGATTCGTGAAATAAAATCTCCCTGCCCCTGATTCCGACTGTGCAAGACACAAAAAAGTCCGTCATGCAAATCACTTCGATACAAAGTCACCCACATCCGAAGCATCGGAAGACAAGCAAACATCAATTAGCGATTTCCTTTAATCTGCGCCCCGCAGAATATTATTATTAATAGAGTTCATCCTTGACTGACGGCCGATTAAACCTGACCCTTGTCCAGGATCATGTGAAGGCGAAGTGTTTGTTCAGCTTAACGAATTTGATGCAAACTAAACAAGCCTCTCTTGGCAAATATTCAAGCGGCTGTGGAAATTGCTTCTGCATTTCTTTGATGAACGGTTGTCTGCTCGAGCTGGATGGCATGACAGACTGGACCAGGAACGTGGATTGGTTGCATTTAAATGGAGTATGGCTGTATGGAGTTGATGGAAATCTAATTACTGGTATTGCACTGCCGGCTATTGCAGTTGTATGAAACACTATGCAGTTTCCTGATTCCGGTGTTTACATAAATCAGCTACTCATCAGTGCGGTAAGGCAATAGAAATCGTATTGTATCTAAACAAATCCCGATCGTGTTCAAAATGTTTCCGAGTCGCGAATCATTAGATATTCATCTATTTATACTAATATTATAAAGAGGAAAAATTTGTTTGTTTGTTTGTTTGTTTGTTTGTTTGTTTGTTTGGTTGATTGTCTGTTTGTTTGTTTGTTTGTTTGTTTGTTTGTTTGTTTGTTTGTTTGTTTGTTTGTTTGTTTGTTTGTTTGTTTGTTTGTTTGTTTGTTTGTTTGTTTGTTTGTTTGTTTGTTTGTTTGTTTGTTTGTTTGTTTGTTTGTTTGTTTGTTTGTTTGTTTGTTTGTTTGTTTGTTTGTTTGTTTGTTTGTTTGTTTGTTTGTTTGTTTGTTTGTTTGTTTGTTTGTTTGTTTGTTTGTTTGTTTGTTTGTTTGTTTGTTTGTTTGTTTGTTTGTTTGTTTGTTTGTTTGTTTGTTTGTTTGTTTGTTTGTTTGTTTGTTTGTTTGTTTGTTTGTTTGTTTGTTTGTTTGTTTGTTTGTTTGTTTGTTTGTTTGTTTGTTTGTTTGTTTGTTTGTTTGTTTGTTTGTTTGTTTGTTTGTTTGTTTGTTTGTTTGTTTGTTTGTTTGTTTGTTTGTTTGTTTGTTTGTTTGTTTGTTTGTTTGTTTGTTTGTTTGTTTGTTTGTTTGTTTGTTTGTTTGTTTGTTTGTTTGTTTGTTTGTTTGTTTGTTTGTTTGTTTGTTTGTTTGTTTGTTTGTTTGTTTGTTTGTTTGTTTGTTTGTTTGTTTGTTTGTTTGTTTGTTTGTTTGTTTGTTTGTTTGTTTGTTTGTTTGTTTGTTTGTTTGTTTGTTTGTTTGTTTGTTTGTTTGTTTGTTTGTTTGTTTGTTTGTTTGTTTGTTTGTTTGTTTGTTTGTTTGTTTGTTTGTTTGTTTGTTTGTTTGTTTGTTTGTTTGTTTGTTTGTTTGTTTGTTTGTTTGTTTGTTTGTTTGTTTGTTTGTTTGTTTGTTTGTTTGTTTGTTTGTTTGTTTGTTTGTTTGTTTGTTTGTTTGTTTGTTTGTTTGTTTGTTTGTTTGTTTGTTTGTTTGTTTGTTTGTTTGTTTGTTTGTTTGTTTGTTTGTTTGTTTGTTTGTTTGTTTGTTTGTTTGTTTGTTTGTTTGTTTGTTTGTTTGTTTGTTTGTTTGTTTGTTTGTTTGTTTGTTTGTTTGTTTGTTTGTTTGTTTGTTTGTTTGTTTGTTTGTTTGTTTGTTTGTTTGTTTGTTTGTTTGTTTGTTTGTTTGTTTGTTTGTTTGTTTGTTTGTTTGTTTGTTTGTTTGTTTGTTTGTTTGTTTGTTTGTTTGTTTGTTTGTTTGTTTGTTTGTTTGTTTATTTGTTTCGAATAGGCTCCGCGAAAGTTGTAGACCGATTTGAAATATCATTTCACCATCAGAAGCCGACATTATTCCAACTTTTTAACGCGGGAAAATGCTTCATTCGTACGGAGAAACGGGTAATAGGTCGAAAGGGTAGTAGAGTAAAGTCGGGGATTATGGAATATATCCGGTAATTTGAAATACCCTATTTTTAACAAAACTACATGTCGCAACTCAGATGTTGACCCTCCTATAGGTCGTAGGTCGTAACTTACCTACTCGCTTGGCTTTTTGACGAGAGATTCTGATCATTTCACCACCCAACCACATTCATCCCCAAATAAAGAGTCAAGACACACTTCATATAAAATTTGACATTTATTGATTAAATGGAAAAATCGTAAATAAATGCTTGCACATGGCAGGTTAGCAAAGAAAAATAACAGAGAGGGGAGGCGAACATTTTTCATTTGATAATTACTAATGACTTGTATTAATAATTTTTTACATTTCAGTAGTGAATAATACAAATTACGAACCAAGTGATTATACCTGTACCTCATCAATATGAGGGAGTTTAATTATTTCAGTCAGGGCTTCATAATTATTAGGGGATATGGTTTATGAAAGACAAGAGAATATTTTATTTGTTCTTCCTCTTTCTTGAATGGCAACGTTGGTCTTAGTTGATTTCACTTGTAGATTTTTTTTTATGTTCTTGCTCCCGAAAAGGGATATCCTGTAATCCCAAAGGAAATAAGGTAGGAATTGGAGTTCTTGAATTTCTGGAGGTAATATGCCTCGAGGAACACCTCCCTTGGCAATGTGTTCCAGAGCCTCGCTGTTCGTTTGATGAACGAGTCTTTGGAAAGAGACCACGAAGGGGTGCGAAGCCTCAACTCGACGGGTTAATCTCGCGAGGACTGTCAAGGGAGGAACAATAATTGTTGATCACCAACTTTTCTACGGTTTTCCAGAGAAGTGAGTGAGTTTGTGAGCGAGGCATCACCCACGAGACGAAATGCCCTTTTTTGGACAGAATCCAACAGTTTCAGGGTATGTTTGGGTGCTGCAACAGTTTCAGGGTGTGTTTGGGTGCTGCACGCCAAATATAGGAACAGTATTCCAGGACAGGTCGGATCTGTGCCTTATAGATCATAAGCAGCTGACTGGAAGTGAAATAGCTCCTGGCCCAAAACCGAAAACCAAGTTTTTGGAATGCACTTTTAGCAATTAATCCCACGTGATTTTCCCAAGAAAGGTTATTGCTGATAGTAATATCAAGCATCGAAATGGATGTCTTCAGAGGTATGGTTACTCCTGACAAGCTTATGTTGGGCACAGTGAGATCGGCTTTTCTAGGGAAAAGGCATGCTTGTGTTTTGTTTGCATTGAAATCTACCAAGTTATCGGATTCCCATTCGAGAATTGTTGCCAAGTCCATATTCATGTTGTCAACATTTATTCCTCGTTCGTTTCTGATAATGATGCCTTATCGATTCAGGTACTATTTATATTCGGAATCGATGCTAGGTTTGCAATTTTCCGCAATGGGAATGGCCATTACCTCTCGATATTGCTGACTTGGGTATTATCGCACGGTAAGCGGTTTTTGCAAATTCTACAGGAACTGACGTCTATGAACTTGTACTTCTTGACAAAATCATTCCATTGAGTTCATAGCTCTTCCACAAGTGTGTTCATTCAATAGGTACCTATCGTTTCTGACCGTTCTTATAGTTGATGGAATATCAGGGCTCACGAGATTTCTAGGTTAATGTATTGAATTTATATTTCAAACACATTCAGAAGTGATTTTATTTTATATATATTATTATTTAGTTGAGTAGATGAATGCTGTATGGAAGATCCAATGTAGAGATAGCGCTGATTTTAGATAGTTCTTATTTTTTCAACTATTTGACCTCCGAAGTTAATATTGATACTACGAAATATTAACAAAATGAAAAACAAAGCGAACTACAATATCACGAAGTAAGAAGTGGAATGAGGAAGATGAAGGAAGTGCAGTGATAGCAGTTAGAAGCGGTAGAATGGATATATCGATTCTTCCATCCACTATTGTGGATATGAATAGTAGATAAAAAGCCTAAGATGCAAGCTTTGGGCACACGAACTGTGTCGGAGAGCCGGCTGCAGATTCTTACCGTCATCTGATAACGAAATGAATCATATCCCAAAGGAATGTGAAAACATTGCAGTTCATCAAACGGCACCTGTACTAGTAGTATCCTGAGCAAAATGATAAAAGAATAGCACTCTCCTGTGCGGAAATTTGCACTAGATTTTGCGATTTGATAACGAGATGAGAATTATGTCATCCGATAACAACAACATTTCTTCAAACAAAGTGTCACTGACAAGCTATTGGATTTTTCATTTAGATTCCCTGATATAAAAATTTGTTAAAGGCAGTGACATTTTGGGGCAAATCCTCTAATTTTTCCTACTACACATATAATGAAATATTACCAAGGATAATACTCATATTTTCATTTTATATAAACGAGGAGAGAAAATCACAAATAATCAAGTAAAATGACTCTATTTTTATTCTCCATAATAATATACGGCTTTGATTGATTTGACAAAAAATGTAACCTCTAATAGTATATTATGTAACAAGTGTTATAAACGTCCTTCTAGTAACGATTAGTTTAAGCACGAGCGGAGCAGAGCGGAGCGAGTGTTTAATAAACGAGTGTCTAGAAGAGTTTATAAACGCGTTACATACTACGAACTCCGGAAATTACATCAATATACCTGCAATTCCTGCTAACCTACAAAATAATTCGAAAGGAATGGGAATTGAGAACATAATACATGCAACTGCATGCAACCAGCGAGACACGTATAACTGATATTGGTTGTAGATGTGTCCAGTTCATTGCTTACTAACCTTTGTTTCATGTTCACTGTCATGCTTAGAGCAGAATAAATGAATTGTTCTCAAATATGGATGCTTCATTTTTACACTTCTTGGAGATATGCAAGTACCAGAACATTCTCTCCGATTTCACTTTCGTCTACTTTTCCCATATATTTTTAATGAAGAATTCTGATACAAACGAATATTGTTTGAATAATTCTGATACAAAATTCGAAAATAACAGTTGACAGTTAATACAATAATTGACAGGCCAGACATGTCTCAAATTACTGAAGCTGTGTTAAATGAACTGCATTACCATGGTAGGTAATGTGTTTAAGAAGTCGTGTTGCCATGGTAACGTGTTTAATATTTTGAATAAATCACAGATCGACAATCCGTGATTAATCGTTCATCTAGCGTGGTACATATCCGTACGCTAAATGCCATTTTAGTTATGTGAGTAGAAAAAATCATATCTGACAAACAGGCGCTATGGGTTGCGTGCAAGAACTGTCAGATGACCGACCCTGGAGGTGAAACATTGAAACACCACCTCACTTTTCTTATTTGTTTACAAGCATTCGAAGCATTGTAATTTAGAAAATAGGAAAGGACAGAAGTTCAGCTGTGTCTGAACTCCTATCTACTAATACAATCTAGTGACTCTAGTGACTTCATATTTTGCGTCATTGGCTCAGTTGTGACAATACCTTCAATCTTTGTGGATCGTCCTCGAGCAATATTATGTGTATATATAGAACACGTGATACGAAATTGAATTTCGCATCATAACGAGCGATGTAATAGCTGTACGGCATTTCATGTATACCGGCTAATTGGTGGAGATTACCGGAACAAAACTCTGGAAACTCGCTAACAGTATACCATAACATTCCCATTGATGTCGGATGTCGTGCTTTTCACCAGAGTCCTGCTTTGTCCCATTGTTTTCCAGCATATATGCTGGCTAACGGCGGTTGCCATGGATCATGATGCTCCCTCTGTCTGGCAATAACCGAAAATTTCATAAGTTTTCGAGTAATGAATTGTTTCAATATTATAATAAAGCTAGATAGTGGACGCGCTTATGTTCAAAAAAGGGCTGTCGTGGGCTTGGAATGATTAAAGCAAACGACATATTTCAAATGTTAGTACTCATTTTATAGAACATCACATCACTTCTTGGCCACCCCAGAATCGCGTCGTTCACCCCCTGTAACCCTCTGAAGGGTGAAATATTCAAATAACTATATCTCGATAACTATTAGAGCTAGCGAGTTCGTTCAAACGCTTAAATATTCATATATTGAATATGAATAACTTTTTTCATCACCATATATACTAAATGTTCGATATTTAGTGAGCTATTTTGAAAAAACCGACAATTCAAGTGCAGCCCCTTCAAACATCAATATATAAACTCAAAACGAGCAGTCATATGAAAAATATTCACGAGTTCGGAAATATTGCCTCTTGTTCAAGCTTCATTTTCATGTAGCTATTTGTGTACTTGCATTTGACTGAAGTGGAATAATTTGAATAATAGTAGCTAGTGACTCATCCACATATTCAGAAGACACACACCTGTTGTTTCGAATGACACACAGAACTAATACATATCAACTTTATTCTTCAAAAAAACATATCATTGAACATTGCTTCGTCAAAGAATATCATCCAAGTCGAACACAGATCATTTCCCTCTCAAATTTCTCCTGTCACTAGAAACGTCAGGATTCAAATTTATAGTGTGTCGTTCTGAATTTTCACAACGCTCTTCTTCAGCTTCACACTCACACATTTCTGTACATGGTGATTTATTTGTTACACATTTGAAGTGTTCTGTATCACATTTATTCTTTCTGCATCCACATCGAACTAAGTTCAATATTCCTGGTGGTGCACAATTCTCAGTACAGAAAACAGGTATGAGTTGTCCTGCCCCATCACTCAGCCATCCAAAGTCCGTAGGATTCAACAATTCTCTCCTAGGTATGTGAGAGCTGGTCCATATCGAAAGTTGTAGTCTTGCCCTCTGAAGAGCTGGATATAAGCTGCCTTTAGTAGGTTGATCACTTTGTTGCTGCATTTTTGCGAAACTCCACCACCTCAACCCGCCTAAAGAGCAGATATTTGACGTTGGTGCATATACTCTGCAAATAAATTTCTCCAATATGTCTGATATTATTGTTAAATCAGTGTGTTTATCCCCAAGAGAAATCAGTGCCTTTAGAATTTTGTCTCATCAGCTTGCTTGAATATTTTCCAAAATGATAGTTTACCTGCCAAATTGTATGATTAAATTTATGGATCAATCAAGGAGACATATCGGTTACCTTTTTTAAAAAATCCGCCAGTACCATCACAACCAGAAATTGCATGTAATGCTGGGAGTGCTTCTCTTTGGAGTTCAGTTAGATTTCCTGACAAAATTTGTATATCAAGTTTCCTACCTCTGATGCAGCTACAGTAGTCTCAAGATGATGATTTTCTGGTTTATTGTTGGATTTTCTGAGAACATTAACCACATTTGTCGCCCAGCAAGTTCGGTGATATTTCGCTTCATATGCACGAGCATCTATTTGAGAAATGAATCCAGATAATTTGACTCTGAGTTCTTCATTGCCTCCCAACTGAACCGCATCTCTCAAACTCCTCCGAGCTTCATCAGTTACGATCGTGTGTAAAGGGTATTTTTTTGTTTCTTTTTTTTGCAAAAGAAACAAAAATAATTTTGGGAACATTCGATCTCAAAACACTATGAGAACCAGAAGTTGATGGAGTCAAAGCAAGCGATTTCTGCGAGGATTTTTGTAGACGATCTAAACTTTTCTTATGGGTTATCTTACTGTAGCATTCTGAATGCCATGATCCAGAATTATTTCTCAATTCATCCGTTGGTATTGTAGAGTAAATATGCTTCATATGAATAAAATCAGGATCATCTAGGTCAATTCTTGATTTTATACACTTCATCACCATATCGTGTCTTGTAGGTTTCTTCACTAATTTCAAATCATTGTTTTTCTGACAAATAACACACAAAGCAAAGTTAATTTCCGAGGACGAATCCATTTTTAATATAATATATTATTGTTCACTCAAATATTCAAAATACTCCTGATCGATTTACGAAGTTGTATTTACACAACTTCACATATTAACAGTGATACGTCGACTAATAAGATTCAAGATTCATCTATGATTGATTCTATGCAATGCATGACGACGCTCGCAGACATAACGTTTAGTCATGTCGAAACGTGTCCGAGAACACGCGTTCTTCCGATTTCACAGCGTTTAATACAAGTTTGTATAATCGGAATTATAATAATGCTAGTATCAAAATGAAGCTGAGAGTGTAAGCAAGAATTTTCAATTGGGGCATATATTCGAAAAATTCATTAATTTCGAAGTTATTCGATAAAAATCGAATGGTATGATATAAAAATATCAGTTTATTCGAAATATCTCAACAGGTGTTGAGAAAACAGTAAATGTCTTTTTAAAAAACTTCATTCACGATCAAAAAACAATCATTTTGGCGTCAAAACGAATTCGCTACCTCAAATAGTCATTGAGATACGGTCATTTGAAAATTTCACCCTTTGAAGGGTTGCAGAGGGTGAACGACGCGTATCTAGGGTGGCCAAGAAGTGATTTGATGTTCTATATAATGAGTACTAACAGTTGAAATAGGTCGTTTGCTTTAATCATCTTGAGCCCACGAAAATACATAAGCGCGTCCACTAAGAAATGTAATGATATCATAACCATCAGTTCCGGCATTCCACAAGGATACATTTTGGCACCAACATTGTTCCTACTTCATAATGTAAATCCTTTATGTATGATGATGATACCCAAATCAAATTCACTATAATTATCACACGCTGATATTGATTCAACAAATCTTTCAATTAATGGAGAATTATCTGAGCTCGTATCATTCTCAGAACAACATCAACTTCAGGTAAACCCATCGGAAACACAAATTTTGATTTTTGGGAAAAATAAAGCACAAATCGAACAGGACAATAATATTGAAATAGCGGGTATATACGAGGTGAGTCTTAAGGAACTGTACATACTCCTATCACGAATAGAGGCCCCTGAGGAAAATACCAGAAAGTGTCTTCTTCACTCCTTTTTCAATAGTTATAGGGTGAATTATGAGATTTGACAAAAACATCTTTTGGTCATAACTTTTCAGCAGCATCTTCGATTCGTCTAATTTTTTTCATGGAATATTCCTCGACTACACTCAAATCGACTGACTCATCCAGAATCCGGAAAATCCAGGACCGTCCTTGAAAAATTTTTGAAAGTTCAGTTTATAGCAAAAAGTTCATCCTGTATCGTTTTTGTAAACTGTGACAGGGCATTTTCATAGGTCACGAACTTACATCAAAAATTTGATATTCCAATTCCTTCTCACACTCTCACTGTAGTTTGAAAAAAACTATAAGTTTTATGAAGAAAAGAAAATTTGGCAAAAAATGTATTTATTTGGAAATTGATACTTCGCAATCCATGAATTTCACGGATGAAAGTGAGACTCACATTTGCAATGCTTTAGCTCAATGGAAATCAACATTATCATTGTATTTGCAGGCCTGGATTTGGCGAGTCATTTTTTTGCGGAGGATAAATAATAATCACCCTGTAGATCTCAAATCTCTTCAAATCAGTGGATGGGGTATCTGAAAAAATATTGATGGCTATCGCTATAAATAATTTTATGATTTCAATTCACAGTTTTATCTATTCGATTTGGTTACTTATTTTCCGTACTAGAATAATTATCCGCCTTTGTCAGTATAGCTTTTGAAAAATAATTGTGAATAAACCTTTATTTCCTGTTCGACTATCTTGAATTATCTGAATCGATCACCATTAACATCTAAACAGAATAGATACCCCATCCCCTGATTTGAAAAAGATCTACAGGGTGATTATAACCCTCCTCAAAAAATTAAATGACGAAATACAGGCCTGGAAATGAAAGTACATGTTGATTTCCATTGGGCTAAAGCATCAAAAATGTGAGTCTCACTTTTATTTGTGAAATTTATGCGTTGCGAAGTAATTATTTTCGAATGAATTTTGTTGTCAAACTTTCGTTTTTGCTTATAAATTATTGTTCCTTGAAAAATTCTGTGAAAGTTTGAGGAGAATTTTGAATATTTTATCTTCGATGCTTGTTTGTGTGCTTTGAAAATCCCCTGTCACAGTTTACAAAAACCATATACCTATAGGATGAACTTTTTGATAAAAACTAAACTATCGAAATGTTTCAAAAACGTTCCTGGATTTTCCTGATTCTGAGAATGTCAGTCGATGAGGGTTCAGATGAGGAATATTCCATGAAAAAATCAAACGAATCGAAGGAGCTGTTGAAAAGGTATGCCCAAAAGATGTTTTTGCCAAATCTCTTAATTCACCCTATATATCGGTAAAGAAGAAAAGAAGACACTTTCTAATGATCAGTAAGTATTCCCCTCGAGGGTCTCTATTCGTGGTAGGATTATGTACAGTTCCTCATGACTCACCCTGTATATCTTGCGTCAAAGTTGCTAGAGATTAAGGTTTGGAGTTAGACACAGACTTGCGGTTTAGAAATCATGTCAACAAATATGTGAAACGGGCGTATGCCAACTTGAAACTGTTATATCCCTATCGTCAAGTTTTAGAAAAATCAACAAAGATTATGCTTAGCGAATACTTAGTTCTTCCTCATTTTAACTATTGTGACGCTATTTATGGTCCTTGTCTGGATAATATAGAAATTAATCGGACTCGAAGGGTTCAAAAATCATGTCTTAGGTATATTTATGGTATAAGGAAATATGAAAGTATCTCTCATAAACTGAAGGAAACGACCTCATCGCACAAAATTATTCTTCACAAAACCACTCCTTATCTTTATAATAACACTCCGTGATAATCTGTACACTCGGTTCAGGGGAATAATTTCGCCTCCATCTCATCGAACTACAGTTTTCATGAGGTCCTTCAGTTATAATATTTACAGACTACACTGTAGAAAATTCCTCTCAGTGAATGCATATGTGGTTGTGAGTGAATTTACTGATTGACATTTTTGAGTGAATTCTCAACTCAAACTAGATATTTCATCAAGTTCTCATATCAATGAGAATGTTTATAAAAAATTTGATTGAATCGGTTCATGAATTACCATTTTACACAGTCGAGTAGGGTGCAATTTCAACCCAATCGGGCGTGGACCAAATTGACTCATTATTGCGTGGACCTTGAGTGAAATTTCACTCAATTTTTTTTTCAGTATATACAACCTGGTTTCTGCAAACCTAGAAAAGTTCTCAATCTTGAAGTTCAGGAAAGTTTAGAAAAAATCATTATTTGATGCTGCTAGATGAATCATATTCATTAAGATAATGCAACACTTTACACTTTACTCATTATTCATTATTCATGTGCCAATCACTCGTATCAGTTACACCGCCAGTCATCTCTATTTTGCGGTATGATCCGAAAATCATTTTTAGAAAATTAATTGTTCTACACAGTGAAAAATTTTCGGGTGTAATTTCAATCGAGTGAATTTCAGACATAACCCCGATTGAATCAATACTCGATTAGCAATATTATATCAATATTATTTCAAATTCGATAATACCGTGTACAGTGGTGGTGTCAATTCACACCTTCATAGTGAAAAATCACACGGATGTGTAGACGGGTTCTGAAATATCCATTCAAAACAAACACCAAAAGGATGAAAAGTAATTACTTTCGATAGTAGTATTATTCAAGTTAACGCAAAAAATACACTTATTATATGTAATTACCACCTAGTTACACCGTGACGAATCACGAATGAATCAAAACCGTGTATGAATCATGAGATTTGGGGTTAATATAATTCACTCATCGTCTTGCATTTTCCCATGTGAATAAATAATGTTTGAGGTTTAGGTACCTACCAATGAGGTGCTTGTGAAAAAAGATTAATTTATTTATTTTTCATCAGTAGTATGGTCATAAGAAACGAAGCATATTCAGGTTTTTTTTATTGGCATGGAATATTTATTCATTGATCCCATG